TGATGGATTTTATCTTCGAAACGCATGCCCACCCTCAAAGGGGTGGTCGTTACATACGACCATCCAGCCTCATGGCCTTAATCATGATGGATTTTTCCATATTAGCCTGTCATCAAGGTTAATCCAAGAATATCGACTATTCATAATGTAAATTTGGGAAACAGTAATTTGCAGAAACTTCAATACGCCATTTCATTCATCATCGAGTGAAGCAATTCATTACATTGGCGGTGGTAAATAAGAAAGAAAAAATTTCAAGCATAATACTTCTTTAAATTAGCCACATTCCATGACCTGGCTAGAGATCTTCCTTCAGCATCCTTTAAAGAGTATGCTCCTCCAGCATGGACCTTTTCGACCAGGTATGGTCCTTCCCAGTTTGGCTCTAATTTCCCGACGTGTTTCAGCACATCGACTCTCTTCCACACTAAGTCACCCACTTGGAATCTTCGTGTCTTCACTTTCCTGTCATGTGCTGCTCGTACCCTTTGTTTGTACGCCTCGACCCTGATTGCCGCCCTTTCTCGAAGCTCTTCAATTGTGTCGAGCGCTGCTAGCATCAGGTGTTCATTCTGTTCTCGATCATACGCGCTCGATCATTGGGACTGAACCTCGACCTCTATCGGTAACAGGGCCTCCATGCCGTATACCATGCTAAATGGTGTTTCCCCAGTGGTCGATCGGGATGTTATTCTGTACGCCCATAGCACCGAAGTAAGCTCATCCACCCACGCTCCCGATGCCTTCTCCAATCTTGTTTTCAGTCCGTTCAGTATGATTCTATTGGTTACCTCAACTTGTCCATTGGCCTGCGGGTGTGCGACCGAAGCGAAGTGTTGGTCGATTTTCATGTCCTCACACCATGCTCGGATCCGCTTACCGTTGAACTGGGTCCCGTTGTCTGACACCAACACCTTGGGAACTCCAAATCCGCAACATATGTTATCATATAGGAAATGTATCACTTTCTCCTCCGTGATCTTTGCCAGGGGTTCGGGCTCCACCCACTTCGTGAAGTAATCGACCGCCACAATCAAAAACTTTCTTTGTCCAGTTCATTGGGGCATGGGTCCAACCAGGTCGATTCCCCATTGGGCAAATGGGATGGGAGAACTCATCGTCGTCATAGCTTCGGCCGGCTGGTGAATGAGTGGGCCGTGCTTCTGGCATTGCAAACACTTCCGCACCATCTCTTTGGCATCTTCTCTCATCGTTGGCCAGAAATATCCTGCTCGTAGGGCCTTTGCCACCAAGGAGTCTGCCTTGCTGTGGTTGCTGCAGCAGCCTTCATGAATTTCTTTCAACACATATCGCCCCTCTTTTCTGCCTACACATCGCAAGTGGGGACCTGCGTGCGACCTTTTATATAGGATCCCTCCATGCTCGAAGAATCTTCTTATCACTCTAACAGCTCCTCCCTTCAATTCTTTTATTATCGGTGCCCTCCAATCCTCCGCCTCTTCTATCTCGACCACTTCCTTCTCGACCACGCTCTTCTCCATGTGCAGCAAGGTCACACTTCTGCTCTTGCAGTCCACCAGACTTTGTGCCATTTTAGCCAACAGGTCTGCTCGACCATTTTCTCCTCGAGGTATTTGGATTAATTCGAAGGAATCAAACTCTCCCTGCAGCTTCTTTATCTCCTCCACATACTTCATCATCCTTTCTTCTCGGACCTCGAACCCCTCCTGGAATTGGCCCACGACCAACTGCGAGTCTGAATGCATCTGCACTGCTCGTGCCCCGCCACTTAAGGCCAGTTTGAGTCCTTTAATGACCGCTTCGTATTCCGCTTCATTGTTTGATATCTGGTAGGCCACCTTAATTGCGAACTCCAAGCTATCGCCCCTTGGCGATATAAGCACGATGCCTAGGCCACCTCCAGCCCTCGACACCGATCCATCTGCAAACACTTGCCATACCCCCTCGAGCTCCTCGCCTTCCTTCATCCCCTCCTTAATAAAGTCAGCCAACGCTTGGGCCTTAATCGCTCTCCTTGGCTCGTAGATAATTGTGTATTCACCTAACTCGACCGCCCATTTAACTAATCGCCCCGACACGGAGGGTCGACCCAGCGTTTCTCCCAATGGCATGTTCGTTCGGACCTTCACCCTATGCTCCAAGAAATATGGTCTCAGCTTCCTTACCGTAACCACCACCGCCAAGGCCCCCTTTTCGACCTCTGAGTATCTCCTTTCCGCCCCTTGCATCACCTTACTTACGTAGTAAATAGGAAACTGGGCTGCTCCTTCCTCCCGCAACAACACAGAGCTCACTGCCGCCTCACCGATGGATATATATAACACCAAGTCCTCCCCTTGCGCCAGTTTTGCTAATAGCGGCAAATCGACCAACACCCTCTTCAACTCCTCGAACGCTTTATGCGCTTCTTCCGTCCATTGAAATTTCAAGCTCTTCCGGAGTGTCTTAAATAAGGGCCCGCTTTTCTCGGCCACCTTGGAAATAAAACGACTCAGGCCGGCTATTCGGCCAGTTAAGATCTGCACCTCCTTCACCTTCGTGGGGGGCTGCATCTCGATTACTGCCCTCACTTTCTCTGGGTTGACCTCGATCCCCCTCCTTGTGACCATATAACCCAAGAATTTTCCAGATTTGACCCCGAACGAGCACTTAGCGGGATTCAACTTCATCCCATACTTCCGGAGGGTCATGAATGTTTCTTTTAAGTCGTTCACATGGTCAATTTCCTCTTTGCTCTTTACCAGCATATCATCCACATACACCTCCATGTTCCTCCCTAACTGCTCCTTAAAAATTTTATCCACTAACCTCTGATACGTCGCCCCCGCATAGCAGTATGTTCCGCGACTTGTCACAAAGCTGACCCTCTTCCAATCCTCACGAGCCAGCGGGATCTGATGATACCCCTGAGATGCGTCCATCAAACTAAGTAGCTCACACCCTGCCGTGGAGTCGACCAGCTGATCGATCCTAGGAAGCGGATATAGATCCTTCGGGCATGCTTTGTTTAGATCACGGAAATCAATGCACATCCTCCACTTCCCTTCCGCTTTCGACACCATCACCGTGTTTGAGAGCCATTCGGGGAACTGAATCTCCTCAATGTGTCGTGCTCCCAACAGCTTCTCGACCTCCTGCTCGATAATCTTATCCATCTCCGCCCCATGGTGCCTTCTCTTCTGCTTCACCGGCCTCACATTGAGGTCGATGTTTAGCCGATGCTCAATCACCTCCGCACTTATCCCCGTTAGCTCCTCTGCCGTATAGGCAAAAATATCCGCGAACTCCCTCACCAACTGGATCAACCTCGACCGAACAGGCTCTCCCAAGTCCTTTCCTATCCTAAACTTCCTCCTTTCACACCCCTCAATCATCTGAATCTCCTCGACTTCCTCCCCAGGTTGGATATCCATCTTCTCCTTGCCCTTCTCCACTTTTTGTCTGTCCTCCTTCGACCTTGATCCCCCTGGTCGATTAACCTCTTCCCTTCTTGACTCGGCCTGCCTTTTCGCTAATTGTCTATTATTGCTGACTGTTGTTTGATAGCAACTTCTCGAAGTGAGCTGATCTCCGGCGATCTCCCTTACGTTTTCGCCCACCGGATATTTGATCGTCATGTGGTACGTGGATACGACCGCCTGGAATGCGTTCAAGCTCATTCGTCCCATGATGATGTTATAGGATGACTCAGCGCCTACGACCACAAATCTCACCATGCGAACCTTTCTCAGCTCTCCTGATCCCAATGCCACAGGCAGGCAAACTTCTCCCATCGGCATAACCTCTCATCCATTAAAACCGTACAGCGCCGTGGTTACCGGTTTCAGCTCCATATTCAGCTCCCTGTTGATCTGCACAAAACAGTCGTAGAACATCACATCTACCGAACTCCCGGTATCAATGAACACCCTCTTCACGTCAAATCCTGCGACCTCTGCGGTTATCACCAAGGCATCATTGTGTGGCAGGACCACTCCTTCGGCATCCTTCGCTTTAAAACTTATCACCGGCATTCGGTCCGTGATACTCACCTCCTCCTCTTTCTCTTTATTGCTCGAACGTGACCTTTCCTCGCATTGTTCGAATCCCCGTCCGTCGGTCCTCCTGAAATCATATATATCGTGCCTCTCTTTACCTGGCCTCCATCCCCTTCTCTCTCCCGCTCTCTACTTCCTCCCCTCCTCTTTCCCTCATCTCTTTTTCGACCATATCGACCGCCTCGCGCATCCTCATCATCATCTTCCTCACTCCTCTCTACCGAGTCCTCCCGACACCTTCTCTTCTCCTTCCTCCTCCCCTTGTCCTGATAAACAAACTCCTTGAGGTGTCCTGCTCGAATGAGGCGCTCAATTTCATCCTTGAGGTGCCGACAATCCTCAGTAGTGTGGCCATAGTCTTTGTGAAAGCGGCAATATCTCCTCGACTTCAGTTGGGTGGGCCCCTCGAACCTCGACCTGGGCCACGTCACGTCTTTCTCATCTATCCTTTTCTCCATAGCTATCAGAACCTCGGCTACCTTTGTGTTCAACGGGGTGTAATCATGGAATCTTTTTCCCCCAGAGATGGGTCGGTCCTTCCACCTATCCTCTCGCCCTCGGTCTTGTCTAGCTCGCCCCTCCCTCCTGGGCGAGGCTTTCCTTTTGGGCGAGACCGTTTTTTCCTTCCTTGACTCCCCTCGACCTAATTCCTCCAGCTTGGCAAACTCCGCCTCAGTCTCCTCGAGATTGATATATTTTCTACACGTCCTCAATACTTCATCATACGTGTGGGCAGGGGTCTTAGCCAAAGAAGTTCTACACGGCCCCGCTCGCAAACTCCTTATCAGTCCTCCCGCCTTGACCTCGTCGACCGCCGATGGAATCTCCAAACAAGCCTGATTATATCGAGCAACATACTTGCGCAATGATTCTTTCTCGCCCTGTCTCATCGCCATCAATGTCAAATACGTCTTCTCCTGAGCCACCGCGCTCGAATATTGATTTGTCAGCTTTTTTGCAAAATCTCCAAAGTCCACTATCGAGCCTGGGGGGAGCTGTTGGAACCAGTCGAGCGCCCCTCCCCTGAGGGTCGATAAAAAAGCCCTGCAACTAACGGGATCAGTATATCCGTGCAACACAGCCATATTTTCAAACGTCCTTACGTGTCTCGACGGATCAGAGGTCCCTCGAACACCAAGTTGGTATCCTTGTAATTATTCGGCAAAGGCGCTGCCAGTATATCTGCCGAGAACGGATGTCCTCGAGCACGCCTTTCCGCTCGACCATCCACCTTAGCCTGCAATTGGCGCAGCTGTTCCGCCATCCTCTCCATCTCTCGGTCGTGCGCGGGCTCGCCTCCACCATAACTGGACTCATCCTCCTCCGCGTTTTGGCGTGACCCTGCAACAGTATTCGGTGTTGTTGTAGCCCGAGAAAGACTGTTCGTGACTTGTTGAACCGCCTGGGCAGCTGCCTCCGCCATCATCTGTTGCATCTCCTGCCTAGTCATCACCACCGGTTGGTCGGGGAC